TCCATGCTATGACACGTCTTTATGTTGCATACATTATTTAATTTATTGTTGTTTTGCCCTGCTGTAGATGGAACCCAAGGCCCAGAACACACTAGCAAGCACTCTACCACTGAGACACATCTCCAGCCTTGTATTAGAGAATCTATTTTCTTTCCCAGTATCGAGGGTTGAATCCAGGGCCTCCAAGCACTCTATCCCGAGCTCCGCTGTTTGATGTTCTTCAGCCACGGTCTTGCTATGGAGCCCAGACTGGCGTTGAACTCTTATAAATTCTCCTGCCTCAGCTTCCCAAATGCTGGGATTATAGGAGTAATACCAGCCTTATAATGTTAAATGTCTTATTTTATGGTGACTGCCATCTGATAAATGAACATATTTATGAGTAACACTACTGCAGGACTTGGATTTAACAAAACAAATATAACCCCCTATGAGCTACCCTAGGAAAAGAAGTTCAATTTTCTAAAGTTTTGGTTTAGAATGTTCAATAACTCTCCTGAAAAAAGTAAGCAACTCCAAAACTGTCTCTCTTTCCCTGGGAAACTTCCTGGGGTTTAAATGAGAGTGTGGTACAACAGAACTGAAACTATGGAGCCATGTGAGTGCCTCACCCCGCTCTGCTCCAGTCGCCAGTGCCAGGACTACACACACACCACTAAGCTAAGTTCTGTGTGGGACTACACACACGCTACCACACTAACCTCTGCACAGAGACTACACACACGCCACCACACTAACCTCTGCACAGAGACTACACACACGCTACCACACTAACCTTTGTGCAGAGACTACACACATGCCACCACACTAACATCTATGTAGAGATTACACACACGCCATCACACTAACATCTGTGTAGAGATTACACACACACCACCACACTAACCTCTGTGCAGAACTACACACATGCCACCACACTAACCTCTTTGGGGGATTACACATGTGCCCCTACACACTAAACTTTGTGTATTTCCTGTCTGTCTCTCTGACCTTGTAGCCCTGTTTGTCCTGGAACTTGCTACGTAGATCAGGCTAGCCTTGAACTCAGAGAAGGTGTGTGCCATCACTGCTGGCTTCACTATGTTGCCCAGGGCTGGTCTCAAACTCACAAGCTCAGTTGAGTTTACCACTTCAGCCTCCCAGTAACTGGAGAAGCAGGCAGATAGCATCAGCTGCATTTACAGTCATGTTATTGAATCATGGTGTGGAAAATACATCCCCTACCATGCTTTGCCTGGTGCCAGCAGCAAGAAATCTCAGGACGGAATTCCAAGCTGAACTCCTCCCTAGCCTTGCTATGCTTCCAGTATAACTGTTGGATGGCCATTAAATGATGAGTTCTGTAGGTCTATAAAGAGAAACACTGGCCAGTGCTGAATTAGTTTGGAGTATCTTGTGAGTCTAAACTAAGCTTACACCAAATACTTACTTTGGTAATTTCTTGGTGCTACAGAGAAAGTCAAGTTAGAAAGACAGAAGGTAGGATCAAAGAGCCGGGGACCAGAGGAGCCAAACCTTTACTCACTGTGACTGAAGGGAAGCAAGAGCTTTTCTGAAGGTCCACTGAATATCGAACTGCAGCAGCTTGGGAATATCCGGGTACCCTCCCAGCTGAGCCCAGAGAGTATTCAAAGATGTCTTCTCCATTATCGGGTAGCTTGAAGAAGACAGGTCAGCGTTCCAGATGGACTCCATCTGAGTCTGCTGTCTAAGAGAGTCAGAGCACATGAGGTAAGGGATGAAGCTCCTCTGATCGCCACAACCAGTTGAAACACGCGTCTCCTCTTCCCCACCCATGAACTGTACTCCCATGCCCCGGGGAGCCTCAGCTGTACCAGCAGACAGAGACAAGGGAACGCACCACTATGACCTAGTCATTCCTTTCAAGCTTCCTTCTTAGCCTCCTGAATACACAGACCATGTGTCTTCTCCTTCGGGAGGGAGAGAGGGAAGGAGGACAAAGAAACGCGTCTGTGCTTGAAAGCTTATTAGATATTCTTTAAATAATTTATTCCTTAGGAGGAACCAGCTTTTCAAACATTTTTTTACATGTTATTTATTTTGTATGTGTGTGGGAACATGTGAGCCATGGAGTGCACATGGAGGTCAGAGGACACCTGTGGCAGACAGTCCGGCTCTCTCCCCCAATAAGTCCCAGGAATCAAACCCGGATGGTTAGGCTTGGCAGCCTGCGCCTTCACCAAAGGCTAAGCCATCCTCTGGTCCAGCAGCGTTCAAAAAAAAAAAAAAGCAAACAAAACCTTTATTATATTAAGAGAAAGAGGGGCAGAGGGAGGGAGAGGTGGTGGTCAGAGGACAGCTCTGTGGCTTTGGTTGTCTCCTTCCACTGTGTGGGTCCTGGAGCGTAGACCCAAAGGTGTGACCAGTGAGCGCACCCAAATCACCTAAGTCATCTTACTTATTTTTTAAAAAAAGAACTCAAAATTAAATGCCAAATATTTAAGTAGAAATATATGTAAATAAAGCAGGCATGATGGCGTGTAGCTTTAATTCCAGACGAGGCGGAGTCGGGAGAGTCTGCGCATTCCAGGTCAGCCAAGGCTACACAAACGAAACAATGTTTCTTCTCAAGACAAAAGAAACAATACACCTTGCTGAATTCACTAAGGAAATAAGTACATCCACACTCTTGTACCACATTGTAAGTGTGGGAAAGGAAAGCCCTTGGGTAGAACTAAAATAGTTTTAATTAAAAAAAATTAGACATTGTGTATCACTTGTACCGAAAGTTTAATACTACATACCATGCCATGAAAGTTTAATGCTACATACCCAAAGGTTTTGAAAATGTTGGGCTTTTTGTTGTCTTCAATTAATAACTCCAAGACTGGCCGTTGAATTTTGGTAAAATCAGGTGTCTGCTTAAAGCCAGAGACCAAGGGCACAGGCTGGCTAAGATTTAGTTTAAACACCTTTTCGATCTAGAAGCAAAATCAACAAGAAGTTAATAAATACATAAAAGAAAGCACATTTCTCATGTCTCAGCCTCTGGAGGAAGTGTAAAGAGGAGCATCAGGAAAAGCCAGAAATGCTAGGAAGTTTGGCTTTGAATCCAGACAGTAGTGGAGCAGCGGAACTACACATCCACAGCCATGGTTCCCTTCGGACCGGGGAGCTGAGACCACGGTCTGAAACTCTATATATGTAGCTCAGCCTGGCCTTGCTTGCACTTGCTGTCTGTCTGCTTCTGTACCCCTGACCAGAGAGAGCCCTCTCCCTTTACCATTTCCTTCTTTAGGCCTTGACTTCCATAATCACCACTTGACTCTTGCCTGGGGGTTCTCAGTCTTTCATACAGCTTCTCGTGTTGTGGGGACCCCCAACCATAAAATTATTTTCATTTCTATTCATAGCTCTAATTTTGCTACTGTTTTGAATCATAATGAAAATATCTGTATTTTCCGATAGTCTAAGGTGACCCACATCTGTATTTTCCGATAGTCTAAGGTGACCCATTTCTGTATTTTCCGATAGTCTAAGAAGGTGACCCATGTGAAGGTAGCATTCAGCTCAAGGGGTCGCACCCACAAGCCGAGAATCGCTGCGTTAGAGCCTGCCCCTCCTCTGAAATGTCCGGGGCACGGTTATTATTCCTGTCAGGTTGCTGTTGCTACTGACACCCCACCTTCCTTACTCCACCTACAAAGACTATCATATTTACCAAACCAAAATTAGAGGTGTTTTTGCTGTTTGTTTAACAGAGCTATAATATTTAAAATATAATTGCTATGGAAAATTCAAAATATTTTACTTTAACCTGGCAATGAACAGAAGAAGTCTGTCCTATGCAAAGAGGCAAGCGAGTGAAGCTTGCAAATTAACCAATTATTTTGTCTTTTTTTTGAGACAAGGTATTATTATGAAATCTTGGATAATCTGGAACTTATTATGTAGCCCAGTCTGACCTCTATTAATAATATTAATGAGTCAGGCAGTGGTGGTACACACCTGTAATCCCAGCACTCGGGAGGCAGAGGCAGGTGGATCTCTGAGTTCAAGGTTAGCCTGGTGAGCAAGTTGCAGGACAGCCAGAGATGCACAGAGAAATTGTCTCAAAAAAAAAAACTTTTTTAATGAAAGAAAAACAATGATATATAGGCATTAAAATGTTTCTAGAATTCCAATTTGTGGTATTTAATATTAGAACTGGACTGGGTGTCGTGGTGTACCCTTTTAATTCCAACAGTTGGGAGGTAGGAAGATCTTTGAGTTGGAGACCACCTTAGTCTACATAGCAAGCTCCAGGCTAGCCAGTCTCAAAAACAAAACAAAAAAAGTAATAGTATTTGTAAGGAACATAACTTTAAAACCATTTTATGCCACCCAAGGCCATTTTGTGTGAATTAGAATACTGTGATGGCCGAGCTTGCCGCCTGACAGCTCTAACAAGAGTGAAGCCTCAGAAGCAGGCCCCTGGCAGGCCACCTGACAGCTGGACAGGCAAGAAGGCTGGCCACCTAACCCCAAGGTGGTATGCGGATGTGCTAGAACTCATGGTTCAAAACTGGCCTCTTCGCGCTCTGAGCAAAGAGTGACAGTCACGATCAGAAGCCAGGTGTATGGCACATGCTTGGAACCCCAGCGCCTGGGAAGCTGGGGCAGGAATACCGACTCTAGTTCTAGGCCAGCCTGGCTACACTGACAAACTCTGGCTCAAAATAAAACAACCCAGAACCAGAGAGCAGTGATTAGAGGAGGCCATCTGGAGGGACAGGTCCCCTGACTAGGAAAGGAACTCTTAATCCTAGCTGAAGTGTCTCTCGTCGGAAAGTTGCCATCGAGGGAGTATGCCTGTCTCCGGTTTGGGAGTTACTCTGAGGTCGTGGTGAGATAGAGCGAATGGCTAGAGTAGACGTGCCCAGCAGAATCTGTGACTGACCTATTTGGAAAGAGAGTTTTTAGATGTAGTTAAGAATCTCAAAACGAGGGCCTCCTGGTCTAATTAGGAGTGTAATAAATTCATTGCCATTTGTCCCCAGAGTCATCTGAAGGTGAGAACTGGAGTTACAGGGCTACAAGCTAAGGAGCCCCAACTAACAGATGCTACACCCGAAGAGAGGGCAAGGACCAGATCTCTTCCCAGAACCTCCAGAGACAGTGAACCCTGGGACACTTTGATTACGTAAACTTCTTGCCTCTAGAAGATAAGATAATTTCTTGCTGTCGGCAACAATGACAGAGGATTCTTTTTCATTTTTGTTGTTGCCGGTTCTTGAGGGGGCAAATATACAAGACAGGATATAGCCAAGGCCACCCTGGAAGTATCTATGTAGACCAGGCTGGCCTCAAACAGTGATCCTTTTGCCTTAGCCTCCCAAGTACAGAGATGACAGGTGTGAGCCACCACACCCTGTAGCCTCTGGCTACAATGTCCAGCTATTTCTAGTATAAACTTCTGATAACCTGTTACAACAGCCCCAGGAAACTCTAGACTACTTTACCTGTAGTCTAGCCAGGTAAACGTGATTGTCAAAACTTATTTCCTTGGAGTTGAGCATGATGATGGTGCACGCCTTTAATCCCAGCACTTGGGAGGCAGAGCCAGGCAGATCTCTATGCATTTGAGGCCAGCCTGATCTACATAGTGGGTTCCAAAGCAGCCATAGATGCATAGGAGAGAGATTGTGTCTCAAACAAACTAAAACAACCCTTACTTCTTCACCTCGCCCTGGAAAGAAGGAGCAGAAGGAAAGGTTACCTGGCTGAAGAGCTGCATCATGGACCACAGGTACTGCTTCCGCCTTTCCTCCAGCTGCTTCTGCTTGTCTGTCCAGAACCGCATCACCTTCTTCTGGTATTGATCAATTCTATCCAGCATGATGTAGAGGTTCCGAGTCTCATACCCTTTCCCAGTATTTTGGATGGCTTTTAATCGTTTGGTTATGTTGTTTCTTGAAAAAAGTCAAGAATTAGATCCATATAGTTCCCAAAGCTACCATAGCAAACCTGAGTTCTGTTTCCTTCCATTCCTTTCTCATTTTGAGTTCCTAAGCGGTATGACTTGTTAAACAAGGCCTTTATCTAATTTCTATATAAGAATAATTTTCTGAGTGGTTGGTGGTGGTGCACGCCTTTAATCCGGGGTGCTCAAGAGGCAGAGGCAGGCGGACCTCTGTGAGTTCAAGGCCAGCCTGCTCTCCAGAGTGAGCTCCAGGACAGCCAGGGCTACACAGAGAAACCCTGTCTGGAAAACAGACAGACAAATTCTGTAGTGCTAGGTAGGGGTGGAACCCAGTACCTCACACATGCTGCACACAGACACACATGCTGCACACATGTTCTACCACCGAACTGTGCCTCAGATCACTATCATCACTGTTTTTAAACAATTCGGGGGATACTAATCAATTCACGTGCAAGACACGAAAACTGGATGTTTAAAGATTAGACAGTCTTTGGGGCTGCAGAGATGGCTCGGGTATGCACATGGGACAAGGACATAAATGTAAGCAAAACATCCATACTCACAGAATAAAATAAAAGTTGAAGGAAAAGAAGGGCTGGGTTGTTAGTGCAATGGCAGACAACACTAACTTAGTGTTTCCAAAACCCTGGGTCTCTTCCCTGTCATCTTAACAAAACAAAACAAAACAGAAACAATTTTAAAACCTGGGTGGTATTGGTCTAGAAATGTTAGGTTTAAATTTTTCCCGTTCGTACCAGGGTAACATTAAATATTTAAGGGTTTATCTATCTGGTATTGATTGCAGAAACTACTAAAAGTATTTTTTTAGATATTGGGAGGTGAGAGGGCTAGCTGGGCATGGTAGCTGTTATCCGGCACTCATGACACCAAGGTAGGACTGTTATGTTTGAGGCCAGCACAGATTAGTGAGTATATGTTGTTCTGGACTACAGGAGACCCTGTCTCGGCAAAAACAAACAAACAAAAAAACCCTCAAAGAATTTATAGTTGATGTACATTTAAATTCCCTCAGCGGGGGGGAGGAAAGGTGTATTATTTTACAAGTGGTGACCAAGTAACTAGGAAGGAAAAAAAAGAGACCCAGATCTCATAGTAGAGAGGTATGAGCCAAATATGTAAGGAAAACAAACTGAGAAAGACTTCTGTTTGGTTGTGAGACAAGTTCTCCTGGCTTGCCTGGAACTCACAATGTAGATCAGGTTCTCTTTCTCTTTCTCTCTTCCCTCCCCATCCCCGTTATCTCAATAAAACTCTCCACTTAAGCTTTGCCTTCTGGCTCTCCCCTGCCAAGGTCCCTCTCGCCCAAAGTCATTACAGTAACTGCAAGTGTAGACTACCATGCCCAGCCTTTTCTGATATTAAAAAAAATTCAGGGCCAACAATAAAGTTGCTATGGTAACACAAGGTGTTGATTTCCCACTTCAGATGTGATGCAGAGCTGCGTCTGATGGCCCATGTCTGTCCTGCACTCATCGGGTGGCTAAGAGTTGGAGGCCATTCTGGGCTACACAGTGAATTTCAGGTCAGTGTGGGCTTCAGGGGGAGCCTTATCTCAAAACCAAAGCAGAATAAATAGGTAGATCAGGCATGCTGGACATGCCTGTAACCCCAGTATTGGTGGAGTATTGGTAGGGAAATAGGTTGTCCCTGCCAGCCGCATGGGAAGGTTCCAGAAGAAATGCAGAACAGGTGTAGGGGGACAGAGAACATCTGGAATCCTCCAGTCTCCTCTAGCTTCCCTGTGCAACACACACACACACACACACACACACACACACGCACGCACGCACGCGCGCGCACACACCCTAAGCCCTGAATGCTAAACGTACACACTCCTCCTGCCTCCAGCTTCCAAGCAGTAGAATTGCAAGGATATACCACCACTGCTGACTTCCTTTTATTGTCTTAAACCTTCATCCTGCAGACCCTTAATGATCACAGCATATGATATGGGCCTAGAGGAATGGTTCAGTGGTTAAGAGCAGTTGCTGCTCTTCCAGAGGACCCGAGTTTGATCCCTAGCACACACATCATAGCTCACAACCGACTATAACTCTGTCTTTAGGAAATCCAACATCCTCTTTGAGCACAGGCCTATGCATGCTGCAGATATGCATGCAAACAAAATGCTCATACATGTAAAATAAAAACAAAAAATTAGAAGCTGGGCAGTGGTGGCATGTGCCTTTAATTCCAGCACTTGGAGGCAGAGACTCTGAGTTTGAGGCTAGCCTGGTCTACAAGAGCTAATTCCAGGATAGGCTCCAAAGCTACAGAGAAACTCTTTTTTGAAAAAAAAAAAAAAAAAAAGAACGAAAATTCTAGGCAGTGAAGAAAGTTGCTCAACATCAGGATTATACCAGAAAAAAAATGGTTATGTATACTAATTGTACCTACCTGGCCAGCTGGATCAGCCTATAGGCAACATACTTGCGGCACAGATACCCCAGTCTAACTGTATTCATATGAAGCAGTTCAATTATGAGATTCCTGGCAATTGTGTGGTACTCTGAAGGGAATCCAGAAGTTTGTGCAGCCTCATTTAATATAACCAGGTTCTTCCTTTGAGCCTCCACATCAACAAAGTATCTGTCTTCAGGGAGCTGGGCAGTGAGAGGGGATCCCATGGTCTTGGCTTTCCTGGCATCAGAAGCTGGGGTTAGTATCCAGGGCTTGTCTATAGCGGGGAGCCGTGGTCTCTGGTCCCTTGCAGAAGGTAAGGTCTGTGATGTTTGGGAGAGTTGAGTGCTAAGAGATGCAGTAGGCTTCTCTAGACCAGAAGGGACTTTCTCACCAATGTGTGGGAGCTTCGATCCTGGTATCCCAGAACTTGTGACATAAGGCGGAAACATTCCAAGTGGTTTCACGTCGAAAGAATCTTGGAGTACCCCAGTTTCTTCTGAAATGTCAGGCACCTTTGCTATTCGGATCTTTTCTGTAGGGAAAGGTGCCAGAGAGGCACTGGGGTGAGCTCTGGCCAGTTCAGGTTTTGGAGGGGAAACAGCACCTGACCTTTTCTGAGGGACTGAAGAGGGAGAAATTCTCTGAGGCCCTCCAGGGATTGAGAACTCCTCTGCTGTGGATAGACGCAGTGGGACTGGAGTTATTCTTGGAAGGGACTCTTCTTGCTCCGCAATGATCAGTCCTTTCGTGTAGGGAACTTGTTCATGGATGGCTGAAGGCTGGTAGGGGGAGAGTCTGGATATCAGGAGGTCCTTGGAGATATCAGAGCCTCCAGGAACAGAGAGTCCTGGCAACTCTCCAGAGGTGGAGAGGACTCTAGCTGTGGGAGATGGTGTCAAACTTCTGGAGAGGAAGGGAGTTTCTGGTATTAGAGGTGGCTGAGTGCCCCCAGTTTTGAATAAATGCCAAGGAGCGAGGGGCAGTCCTGGAGTGGAAGGAGTCTCAGGTTTGGGGAGCTGCCTTCGGGTAGGAGGGACTTCTGGTGTTAGGAGCTGTGTGGGGGTGACTTGCCCTCTGTCTGTTAGAATCTGTCTGTAGGTAGGAGAGATGTGTGGTTTTTCAAGCTTCTCGGAGTCAGGAAGAATGTTCACTCCTAGGCCTATCCTAGGAGGAAGTGGGGTTTGCCTGAATTTCTGCAACGGAGTAGATAGAGGAAAGTCCTTCAGTTGTTGAAGTGGTCTGTCGGGAGAAGGAACCCATGTCGCAGGCTTTTCCGAGGTAAGAGGAATACGAAGTGCTGGCCGATACTCAGCGACTCCTGGTGCTTGTAATTGCTCAGGACTAGTGATGTTTGCTGCCCCTTGAACCTTTTCTGGCATGATTAACCCCCCCCATTTCCAGGCCAGTTCTTCAGTGAGCGCGTCTTCTAATGCCGCCACCTGCTCAGAGGTGAGGGTGACAGCCGCTGCCCGAGTTTGCTCCCCAGTAAAAATGACACCCAAATCCTGGGCTCTGTCAAGTGTGATAGTGAATATTAGTGTTTGTCTCTCTCCTGGACCGAGTCGGCCCAGCAACGGGGTCTGCCAGGGTGTACGGGGAGGTTGCAATGCCTGTACTTGCTCAAATGCCTGGGTCTGCCCTGGTGTGAGGATGGTTCCCAATGCCCTGTCCTGCCTCTTTGGAAGTGGAACTCCAGATAGCTGGGGCCACTGAGTGCTTAGTGGGATTTCAATTGTCTGGGTCTGTTTAGAAGCCATAGCTGGTCTTGGTGTCCAGATGGACTCTGGGATAATAGGAATTTTTAGGGATTGAATCTGCTCTGTAGTAGGACGGCCCCTCAATGTTGCTGCCTGTTCATGAGTTAACGGAGCATCCAAACCCCGGAATTTCTTCGGAGGAAGAGTGCCCCGTTTCTGTAACCTTGAAAGAGTGAAACTGATCCCCAGGGCTTCAGCCTGCTCAGGAGAGAGGGTGATCCCAAGGGCTTCAGCCTGCTCAGGGGTCAGACTGATTCTCTGGGCCCTGGTCTGCACAGGGGAGAGAGTGAACCCCAGGGCCCGGGCCTGCTCAGGGGTCAGACTGTTTCTCCGTTCTCTGGCCTGATCAGGGGTGAAAGTGATTCCCAGGGCCTGGGCCTGCTCAGGGGTCAGACATATCTTCTGTACCTTGGCTTGCCTAGGGGTTAGAGTGATTCCCAGGTCCCGGGCCTGCTGTGGACTGAGAGAGATCCCCAAGGTGTGAGTCTGCTCAGGGGTGGAACAAATCTCCAGGGCCTGGACCTGTTCAGGGGTCAGAGTAACTTGCAAGGCTTCAGCCTGTTGGAGGATAGGAGCAATCCCCAGGGCCTGGGCCTGCTCAGGGGAGAGTGTTATCCCTAGGGCCTGGGCCTGCTCAGGGGAGAGAGTTATCCCCAGAGCCTGGGCCTGCTCAGGGGTCAGACTGATCCTCTGGGCCCTGGCCTGCTCAGGGGAGAGAGTTATCCCCAGAGCCTGGACCTGCTGAGGGGTCAGACTGATCGTCAGTGTGTTGGCTTGC